GGCACCCAGCCAACTACAAGGGTTGTCAAACTTACAAAGATTTGAAAACACGAATGTACGCAACGCCTAGAGAAGAAGGGACATCCAGGCCACCAAGACAACCCTATAGAACAGTGAACGGAAGAGTGTCCTATGCTCAGATGTTCAAAGGAGACACTGTAAACACTCAATCTCAGGCCCTGCCACAAGAATCTAAACCTCAAGAATTCACACATCAACCTCAAGACCCATATCCCTCCATCCCTGAACGTAGGTTAAATACTCACACATTCATTCCTCCTCCTTCCAATTCCACTGACCTCACAAGCCTATTGACATCTTTCCTTTCCGAATTTAGATCTCTCATTACCCCCCTTATTTCGCTACTTACCAATGTTATATCCAACCTCATTCCACTGCCAAGAAATCCATAAATGTCCTCAACCAAATTCCTCTCCATTCTCCTCTGGAATGCGAATGGTATTCGGAACCACATCAACGAACTGACAATCTTATTACATGACAAAAACATCGACATAGCACTAATAACTGAAACTCGACTAACCAACAAACGACAAATCAACTTGCCCGGCTACAATATTTATCGAACCGACCATCCTGATGGAACAGCACAAGGTGGCACTGCCATAATTATCCATCGATCCGTTTCCCATCATTTGTTTCCCTTACCAAGCCATAATTTCCTACAATCCACAGCCGTAATAATCCAAACACCCCTTTACCCAATAACACTAGTTGCGGCATATTCCCCACCTAAAACACCCATTTCCGAATCCCAAATAATTTCCTTCCTGAATTCCTTAGGACACCACTTCCTCCTAGGTGCAGATCTAAATGCAAAACACCAGCAATGGGGAGCCAGATCCACAAATTCCCGAGGCCGAACATTGCTATCTGCACTTAATTCCCATCGCAGCAACATCCTTTCACCTAATACACCCACATACTGGCCAACAGATCCCAACCGCAATCCCGACCTTCTAGACTTTTTCCTCCACAAAGGTCTAGGATCACTACACTGTTCTATTTCAAGGTTTGATGATCTTTCCTCAGACCATAGTCCTCTAGTCCTAACCGTTTCCACATCTCCCATTCCCAAATCATCCCCACCTTCATTTATCAGGGGGCCAGTTAACTGGAACCTTTTCCGTCAAATACTGGAAGATAATATTGACCTCAGAGATTCCTTAAAAACACCTGAAGACCTCGACGATGCAGTGCATTCCTTCACTACCCTGATCCAGCAAGCAGCTTGGACTGCATCCTCACCTGATCGTCCCAAAAAATACCATAACATAAATCCTTTACCTCAAGATCTATTGGACCTAATCCATAGCAAACGTTGCTCTAGGACCCTTTGGCAAAGAACTAGGCATCCTGATGACCGGAAATCGTATAATTATTATTCCAAACAGGTAAAAAAGAAACTGGAAACTTTTAAAACCCAATCCTACAATTCCTACCTCTCCTCATTATCCGCTAGTGATAACTCCCTCTGGAACGTAACCAAAAAAATCCTTAAATTCCAGTCCATTTCCCATCCACTTCGCCGTGATGATGGTTCCTGGGCTTCGTCAGATGCGAATAGAGCAGAGGAGTTTGCTAAACATTTATCCTACACATTCACCCCTCACCCCGAACTCCATCCCAGCCACACTGCTGAAGTTGAAGAATTCCTCTCTTTACCAATTCCTCTCTCTCTACCTCCAAAACCTGTTAACCCCTCTGAGGTCAAATTCCTTATAAACAAATTAAAACCCCGAAAATCCCCTGGATATGATCTCCTCACTTCACAAATCCTCAGACAACTTCCCAAAAAAGCAATCATATTCCTTACCTATCTATACAACTGCATCCTTCGCACAACCAACTTTCCTTTGGTGTGGAAACATTCCATAATCATCCTGTTTCCAAAACCAGGTAAAACTGTTAATAACACATCATCCTATAGACCGATAAGCTTACTCCCGATCCTCTCAAAAATCTTTGAGAAAATCCTTCTCAAACGCATCCTACCCATAATCGAATCCCACAACATCCCTTCTCATCAGTTTGGATTCCGCTCAAGACATTCCACTGTCCAACAAGGCCTTCGTGTTGTGGACCATATATCCTCTGCACTTGAAAACAAGCATTATTGCACTGGTGCCTTTCTGGACGTAGCACAAGCTTTCGACCGGGTGTGGCACGATGGCTTGCTTTTCAAGCTCAAAACCCATTTACCCCAATCCTTATACCTAGTCCTCAAATCCTACCTCTCAAATCGTTCCTTCCAAGTCCGTTGCGGCACCGAATTCTCCACTTACTATCCAGTTGAGGCTGGTGTTCCACAGGGCAGTATCTTGGGCCCAGTTCTCTATATCCTCTTCACTTCCGATATCCCTTCCAATCCCGATACATTTCTAGCTACTTTTGCTGATGATACTGCCATTCTATCTTCCCACTCAGATCCTCAAATAGCATCTCTAAACCTACAATCTCACCTCTCTTTGATTGAGCAGTGGTGCAACAACTGGCGCATCAAAATCAATGAATCAAAATGCAAACATATCACTTTTACCCTGCGACGCAGATCCTGTCCGTCAATCCTTTTTAATTCAATTCCACTTCCCTACTCAGACACAGTCCGTTACCTTGGCTTCCTTCTTGACAAAAGACTAACTTGGAACCCACATACCAGACTTAAAAGACAAGAACTTAACCGACGATATGGCCAGCTGTATAGATTACTAAGTAGGACATCCCATCTTTCGATTGAAAATAAACTTTTAATCTACAAGACCATACTGAAACCTATCTGGACCTACGGACTTGAACTGTGGGGAACTGCTAAACATTCGAATATCAAACGCATCCAATCCTTCCAGTCCAAAGTACTTAGAACAATAGTCAATGCCCCATATTATGTCACAAACAAGACCCTACACCATGACCTTAACATCCCATTTGTCCTCGACATCATCCCAACCAGATTCTCAAACTTTCACCAAAACCTTATCCATCATCCAAATCCTCTAGCTCAATCCCTATCCAGCTCCCTTCATCCCTACAATCCTCCACGAAGGTTAAAACGGCAGTGGCCCAGAGATCTCTTGTAAATATGCTTCTGGAGTCCTGGCAATGGCCAGCTTCTCCACTCATGTCCCGAGCGTCTGTGGCTCTAGTGCCCTCTTTCAGTCTCCATTGGCTTCTAATACCAGTAATGCGGCTGGAAAAGTGGCACTGGAATCTCCTGGAGTCTTGCTTTGCCTTCCACATGTGGGGGAAAAGGCCTGGCTCGGAGATTCTTGGGCGAATGTATATATTGTATATAGGTATGATTGTGTTTATAAGTTTCTTTTTATGTTATTGTTTATTTTTTTTCCTTTTATTTTCTTTCTTCATCAGTATTATTTATTTACTTTTTATATTTATATTTATTTCTCTATTATTTGTATATATTGTTTGAATGAGAACTCTTAGCCCTAATACTTATAGCCCTCCAGTGGCTGATTGTATTATTATTCAATAAATAGATAAAAAAAAAAAAAAAAAAAAGTTTTCGATAGATGTATCATGCCAGTGGTGACCTATGGCTCCCAAACATGGTCATTGACAAAAGAGAGGAAGAGCAAGGTGTGGCAGAATAGCATCGAGAGAAGCATTATGAAAGTAAAGAAGATAGATAAAATGAAATGCAAGAAGATAAAAGAAGAAACAGGACTCAAAGACACACTCTCGCAAACAAGAAAAGGCAGATGCAAATGGCCTCTCTGTGCTATGCTATTATTCAAAACTGTATCACGCGACGCAGCGGTAGGGTGGAAAAATGGAAAATAGCATCGAAAACTAAATGATAAAGAGTTTGATAGAAGATATGGATTAAAATATTACAGAAAATAAAAATCATTTAACTGCATACTGTAAGCGAGAGAAATGTTTATTATTTCATCTTCTTTATAGGAAATGAACTACTATTTATGATTTATACTTCATATTACTAATCTCGTCTTGTTGATGTCTTCACTTCTATTGTGTGGTCTACAGAACACACCTTAGTTCTTTTTTATAATTATGCAAATCGTTCAAAAATAGTTAAAAGTCCTATCGAAATGTCCAGAAATGGCTCAGTTCTTGTGCGAAAGCATTTCATAGAAACCCCAAGCGGATCGAGGAAAACTCAATTCCTTACCACTTCGAAAAAATAAAATGGATGCTTATAGGAAATAAATTTAAGTCATCTCATTTTAATGAACATCCAGTGAAAGTAAGAGTACATGATAATAATGAGAGGGCTGAAATAGAAGTATCAGCTGTTAAAAATGAACAGATATTTTCACATTTACCAAAATGTACTCTAAATAAATGATTATTTGTAGAATTTACTACAAAGACGAGTTAAAATATTATGCCGCAAAAATTGTAGTCATGACAAAATCACAAAGACAATTTCGTCCTTTGTATGGTTTCAAGAACTAGATGAATGTGAAATACAAAATGGAGACTTTTTTTTACTTTTTACCCAGCGACATTATAAGAGAAACGTGGTGAATTGTGATTATCTGTTCCTATTTTGAGCGGTCAATGACTCAAATAACTTAAAATTTGATATATCACAAACAGAACGCGCCGAATTAAACATAACAAGAGACTCTTAATTCGTAGAAATCCGAATAGTTGGAATTAAATATAGTTATTAGACAATTACATAGATTTTTTAAAATTTATTTATTTAGAAATATAATAATCTGTCACATTGACAATAATTATATATATGAACACATCCACACCATATACACAGAAAACATAAAATTAACAAAAGTAAAATAATAACTAAATAGTAATCAAAAACTATGTACAATGAAAAATAAAATAACCTAAAAATAAGTAAATTTAAAACAATCATACTTGTATACAATATCAGGTAGGGGGTACTAAAACCCAAAGCCAGGTTTTCCTCTCCAATTCTCTCTATAAAGAGGCAAAAGCAAGACTCCAACAGCTTCCTGTGGTACCCTCTCAACCGCATCACTTCAGTGGGCAGGGTGGCCGAATGGGCTAACGCCTGTGCACAGCACCACCGTTGCCCGGCAACCTGATATAAGATTAATGATATAAAAATAGTAAAGATTCGCGTACCGGTGCCAAGGTGTCTTTGAAATCCCCGCCCACTTCCTCTGGCCCGGGAAAACCCCGTATAGCCTTGACGGCGAGGAAGGGGAGGACCCAACAAAAAAAAAATCGATTTAGCCATACATACACCACAACATACACTCATATCTTGAGTGGAGAATCTGGCCGTTGCCAGAACTCCAAGATATACTATACTATACACTAAAAAAGATCTCTGGGCCACTGCTGCATCTACCTTCGAGGAGGATTGTAGGGATGAGTGGAACTATATAAGGATTTTGATTCGGATGATTTATAAGGTTCTGATGGAATTTGGAAAGATTTTCAGGGATATGGTCGAGGACAAAGGGAATATTAAGGTCATGATGTACAGTTTTGTTGGTTACATAGAACAGAGCATCGACTATTGTTCGGAGTACTTTGGACTGAAAGGATTGGTTGCGCTTGATGCTAGAAAATTTCGCTGTCCCCCAAAGTTCAAGTCCGTAGGTTTAAATGGGTTTCAGGATGGTCTTGTAGATCAGTAATTTATTGTAATTGAAAGTTGAGAATTTTGAGTCAATATTCTGTATAATTGGCCCTATCGTCTGCTAAGTGCTTGTCTTTCAAGTCTAGTGTGTGGGTTCCAAATTAATCTTCGGCATAAGAGAAAGTCAAAATACCGGACTGTGTCTGAAAAAAACAGCTGGATGGAATTAAAGTGGACTTGTGGAGAGGATCATGAAGGTAATGTGTTTGCATTTAGATGAGCCATTTATTACACCAGTGCTTAATCGCGGAAAGATGTCTTTGCAGATTTAAGGATGCTATTTCCGGATCTGAGTTGGATGATAGGATGGCGGTGTCATCAGCAAATATTGCCAGGAAGGTATCGGGATGGACAGGGATATCAGCGGTAAAAAGAATAAAAAGGACTGGGCCCACGACACTACCATGAGGAAGATGGGAAGGAAGATTTTGGGATTCTATAAAGGGTAGCAATCTTTTCAAAGCTTTTTGAGAGGATTGGAAGTAAGCTAATTGGTCTGCAGGACGTCGATGTGTTGGAAGGTTTGCCTGGTTTTGGAAATAGGATAATAGAGAAATGTTTCCACAAAAGAGGAAAGTGGGTGATTTTAGGATAGTATTGTAAAAATGTTCTCGCTAAATATATATTATATATATTGTATTGTAAGTGAGAAATATAACAGCTTTAGGAGGAAGTTGGCGGAGGGTTTCAGTGGTAAGGAAGTCGTATTCAGGAGACTTACGGAGACGAAGTTTTTGTAAGTGATGTTTGACCTCAGAAGGATTAATTGTTTTAGGAAATAAGGAAAGTGGTACTATTGTGGTATGTGTGGATTGGAACCAAATTCTTGTTGCTTGGCATTTAAGCCTGCACCCAGGTGATGACCTTAGGTGTTGAGGGAGAACTGAACTGGGCTTTGGATATGGATCTGTTAGTAGCGTAATCTGCTAATGCAAGGGTGGCCGGAAAGGAGAAGGTTTTGATTTCGATAGCAGTTGATGGTAGAAAATCTTGAGTAAACAATGGGAATAGGTGATGAGTGGTGGATTGGTGTACGATGACATTAGTACCGGCATGTGCTCTACCGTCAGGGTGGTCAGTACGGTATGTTACGTACTGTGGAATTATAAAAAGCCGTTTTCTGGTCAGTCGAGTTTCTGTAATTAGGACTACGTCAATGTTTTTGTCTATTAGTAAAACTATTAGTTCGTTGACGTGATTTCTATAACCAAAAGGAGAATAGATAGATGTTTAATGGGAGTCATTTAAGGATTTTTTACAGGAGGGATGAAGTGAGATACGTGATTTGTAAGGAGCGATGTAAGTGGGGTAACCACTGATTTGAATTCAACGAGGAATTATGACAACAAACTGGTGAGACGTATCTTGTAGTATTTGAGGGAGGAGGAAGATGAGGAAATACATAGATTAGTTATTATTATGGGATTATACATAGATTAGTATAGAAAATAGTTATTACATATATACATAGACTAGTTCAAATTACGTAGTTGCTAAAATATGATAAATGTTAAAAAGAATTGAGATGGATAAAGTCGAGGTGAAACGTGATCATCGCAACGCTCCATTAACAACGTCAAGATCAATAATGATCTCGTTTTAATTAATGACTCCTTTTAAATACCTTTAAAATTTTAGTTGTTCCATTTAAATTGTCTTATTTGTATCTTTTCCTTATGGCTATTTAACCCGAACTGTAATATATATAAGCGAATCTCGTTGGAGACTACACAATTCAACAAAATGAAGACCATCTTAGTCATCTTCCTGTGCGCTTTAGTATTTCAGACCATACTGCCCACAGATGGTGAGTATAAATGCAGTCAAGATTTTTATTTCACTCTTTCAATTATTTTGTTGTTCTGTTTATTTTTTTATCACGGAATTATTTAACGATAATCCTTCTAATGTCAAGATATTAACAAATCTGCACTGAAATTCATTCGTTTTGGTGATTTTTAAGTTTATTTGGAATCAAGAGATTTATTTTGGTAAGGAGGTTAAGAAATTAATATTCCCATTATTTAACTGAAATCGAATAACATTTTGTTTGGTGCGCCTATGTGCTAAAACATCAATACTTATATTGATAATCATATTTCAAAAATGCATAAAACATCAATGAAAATATCGACTCCTCATAATATCGATCGTTTAAGTCCTATATTTTTATTGTATCGATAGTAGTAAAACAATATTTTCATCGCTGATAATATCCATATTGGGCTTTCGATATTCCAACCCTAGTTTGGAGACCCTTGATCTAAATGAAAATTAGGTTAAACATTAATATGAAATATAATGCACCTGTTTATTTTTGAGAAATTGAATAAAATAAAAATGTTTTACAGGTCAAATTGTAAGTAATAATAACGAAGCAGCTGGTTTCGTGCAAGTGAATGATGATGACACACAGGTTGTGCAAGGTGGTGGAAGAAACTTGGGTGGTGTCGTGAAGTTAGGAGGGTGAAACAGCTGGTGATGATTCTAGTGATAACCGAGGGTAGCAGGCTCAACAATAGTTTGTAGGATAGAATATAAAATCCTATTATGTATTTCTCTTCTAATACAAATATATTTAATAAAGAAATATGTAATTGGATAAAAATATAATTATAACAAAATATATGGAAGTATATTATTAACCTATTCAATAGTTTGAAGTTTAAGTTTATATATATAGCATTTCCAAGTTAATTTCAACCTTTTCCAAATCAAATTCAAGCTTTTCCAATTCAAATTCAACTTTTTCCATTTCAAATTCAACTTTCGAATTTTGTCAATTTTCGAAATGGATGCCACTTCCTATACTATCGAAGGCATAGCTTTTGAAAAATACAAAAAAAAAATTGATAACGCGGTAGCATATCCATTTATTTTAACATTTTAGATTTTTTCAGTGTAATATCTTTATATCATATTCAATTATTTCCAAGTCAAATTCAACCATTTCCATTTCAAATTAAACCTTTTCCAATTCAAATTTAACCATTTTCATTTAAAATTAATGTTTTAATTTTATATTTTTTTTAAAATAATGGCCATCTCCCCCCCCCCTCCAATAAAAGGTCTATTATTATGCTCTCCTAAGTAAATTTTCGCTTACGGATATCGATTTATTGTACCTATTCTGATTTATTAGGGACTAGTATTATGCTGTCCTGTACCTAGTTTTTAAAATAACCTCCATTTTTTTTTTTTTTTTTTTTTTTTATTGAGTATTATAACAATCTGTCTGTTGGACATTGGTTATAGTGAGGTAGGATGACATTCACACCATATGTACAAAAGAAAAATAAATAAATAGAACAAAATAATAATCAAAAGTATATACAATAGACAATAAATAACCTAACCTAAATAAAATAACCTAAAAAATAAGAAAATTAAAACTAAGAAAAAAAAAAAAAACACATGCATACCTATATACAATCAGGCGAGGGAACTCCAGGAGAACCCTGCGCCACTCTCCCAACCGCCTCACTGGTACTAAAGCCAGCGGAGATTGGTCGAGAGCACTAGCCACATACACACATGTCTTGAGTGAAGAATCTGGCCATTGCCAGAACTCCAATTTATACAATCAAAAGGTCGCGAGGCCACTGCCGTTTCAACCTTCTTGGAGGATTATAGGGATGGGAGATGCTTGATAGGGATTGTGCAAGAGGATTTGGGTGGTAAGTAAGGTTCTGGTGAAATTTGGAGAATTTTTCTGGGATAAGGTCTAGGACAAATGGGATGTTAAGGTCATGATGTAGGGTTTTGTTGGATACATAGAAAGGAGCATCGACTATTGTTCGAAGGACTTTAGACTGGAAGGATTGGATGCGCTTGATGTTAGAAAATTTTGCTGATCCCCACAGTTCTAGTCCGTAAGTCCAAATAGGTTTCAGTATTGTCTTGTAGATCAGTAGCTTGTTTTCAATGGAAAGTTTAGATTTTCTGCTTAGTAGTCGGTATAGTTGGCCGTATCGTCGGTTGAGTTCTTGTCTTTTGAGTCTAGTATGCGGGTTCCAAGTTAGTCTTCGGTCTAAATGAAAGCCAAGATACCGGACTGTGTCTGAGTAACTAAGCTGGATGGAATTAAAGAGTACTGGTGGACAGGAATTGCGTCGGAGTGTAAAGGTAATATGTTGGCATTTAGATTCATTAACTTTAATGCGCCAGTTATTACACCAGTGCTCAATCAAGGTGAGGTGACTTTGGAGATTTAAGGATGCTATTTCTGGATCAGAGTTGGATGATAAGATTGCGGTGTCGTCAGCGAATGTTGCAAGAAAAGTATCGGGATGAACAGGGATGTCAGCAGTGAAGAGGATGTAAAGCACGGGGACCCAAGACGCTGCCTTGGGGAACACCGGCTTTAACGGAGTAAATATTGGAAAATTCTGTTCCACAGCGAACTCGAAAGGAGCGGTCAGAGAGGTAGGATC